AGGGAATTAAACCCAGTTCTCCCAGATTAGAGTCCATGCTCCTAACCACTACATCAAACTGGCAAATATATACCAGATCAACCCAACTCTCTTGTAGCCTCCCTCTGGAGGCTGAGACTAAGAGACAGCATCAAGGCCTTCTCTTCCAACATAAATGAAGTAAATAAATCAAGTAAAGAAGGGGAACATTTTGAACCGAGCATAGCTGAATTATGTTTTCGATGAACAGTTTATTTAGTATTGTTCAGCGAGCAGTTTGCAATCTGTGAATAAGTACCAACAGGTTCTTTGTGACAACAAAGGGAGACCCCCTCAAGCTTGAAAGATACTTTTCTGAAGGTGATAGGCTGGAAAAAATAAGCTTTATGCATGTTTTGAAATAAACATGATGATCCTTCTGCGAAGCAAACAGTGAAAAGAAGGCTTGAAGAAGAAAAATTTTCCCCATATTTTAAAGGGATGATTTTTTAAATAGAAACTAAGCATTTTACAATGCTTAAGATTACTTTTATGTTCAATTTGTGTATAGTAATAATAATAATAATGGCAGTGATTTCTCTTTCTTAATACATATTAATATATTTTTATAGTAAAAGGTAAAGGTAAAGGTTCCCTTGCTCGAAAGCCAGTCGAGTCCGACTCTAGGGTTGCGGTGCTCATCTCCGTTTCAAAGCCGAAGAGCCAGCGCTGTCCGAAGACGTTTCCGTGGTCATGTGCCCGGCATGACTAGACACCAAAGTGCATGGAACGCTGTTACCTTCCCACCGAAGTGGTACCTATTTATCTACTTTCATTTTCTTGCTTTCGAACTGCTAGGTTGGCAGGAGCTGGAACTAGAGACGGGAGCTCACTCTGTCATGCAGCACCCAGGTCTTGAACTGCTGAATTACTGACCTTCCACAGCCTGCAGTTCAGCGTCTTAACCGATCCGAAAATCAACCCGTTCCTGACAATCTTCAAGAAAAATGGATGCCCCTCTTGGAAGCCTCAGCAGCACATAAAATCGACACCTCCCTGTTTGCCCTGCATAAACACCAGGACTTGCTTTCCTATTTTTAACTGTTTTTTATATTCAATAAAAAAATAAAAATTAAAAAAAACCACTACACCAAACTACACCAAACAAAGGGGGAAGTTCAGGAGTGGTGACTGGCCAGAGCTTCGGAGGACAGTCTCAGAGACTCTGGTTTGAATCCCCATCTCGCTGTGGAAGCTCTCTGGGTGATTTGGGGCCAGTCACATACTTTCTGCGTAACCTACTTTGGAGGGCTGTTATGAGGATAAAAAGGAGCAGAAATGGACAATGTTCCTTTGGTCCCCGCTGTGAAGAAAGCCAGGGTATCAATAAAGTAAATAAATAATAAATCTTGCTGGAGATGAGAGCAGGTAACAGGTAGGTGGGTGAATGGCTGAGAAGGAGAGAAGGAGGCAGGGAAAGGGGAGAGGATATGGGGGTTGCCAAGAATGGGAAAGAGGGAATAGCGGGGGGGGGGGGGGTAGTGAAAAGTAAGGTGTGTCGTCCCCCCCCCCCAAGTCCTTGAAGGCTCCCTACCATGCAGGTTGGCCTGGCCCAGCGGACAACATCACAGAACTGGGCTATAGTTTTCTTAGGTAGAGGATGATGGAGGGGGAGAGACGGAAACCCAAGGCAAAGGGGCAGAAAAATGAAGGTTGGCTGAGGGGTGGGAAGGAGAGAAGAAAGCATGAAAGGAGGAGGTGCTATGTGACGCTATGGGGTCTTACGGGAAAGGAAATTATGAAATAGAGGGGGAGGGGGAAATGAGATGTATCCCACAAGTCCTTGCCTGTCTCCACTTGGACATAAATGGCTCTGGTCACACGGGAGGATTTGCCCCCCAAGAGGGATGGATCAGGGGTGCATCAAGCGGGCGCAATCACACTGCAACGTCTGGGAAGCGTCACGCACCCATCCCCGATCCGTCCCTTCGGCTCAAAAACGCGCATTTAAAAGGTACTAGCGACAGAGCACTACCTTCCAGATGATGCACGGCAACTCCAGGCGTCTGGTCGGGGAAGCACTGGTAGCCCATCACAGCCAGCGCCGTTCCCCGTCCTACGCATGCGCACAAGAGCGCTACGGCCGGTTTGCTGCACAACGTGTGATCGGCTGCCGGAGCACGGAGCCGCGGGGGTACGTCAGATCACGCTCCCGCAGTTCTTTTTGCTCCTGCTCTAATTTGCCTCCCTTTGGCAGTGGATCACCCCACTCGTCTGACCGGGACCAATAAATACAGAAGTCCTGATATGTTTCCATCTTGCAAGGTCTGTTAGCCTGAAAATGTGACAGGCTAAAGGGCATCCAAAGACCTTCCAAGCCTACTGTGGATTTGAACCCGACCCAGAGTGTCTGTAACCCACCACTCCGCTTCTTGAACTTAATGGACCCAAATCATGGATTGGAGGCAAACTGCGTCGGGTTAATCCATGGGGGATCGGTCATGGCCACAGGTGTGAGTCTCAAGCATCTGCAAGAGGATTTCTTATTTTGAACTTTAGACACAACTGAGAAAAAGACATGCCATACTAACCTTTGACACATTTAATGAACCCCAACTCACCAAAAAGAACCACTAAGCACAGAACAAAAAACACAAAAAATTACCAGATGCAAATAATAATAAACAATAAATTTAATGAGCTATGACCCTTTCTTAGCTGACTCTCGTTTTCTCTGATTCACAAAGAAATATTTAATGTAGGGTTGCCAACTACCTAGAGAGAGAAAAAGGTGTTCTCTCCCTTTAACAGAGGCATTATGGGATGTTATTTCTCTCTTCAGATGCCCATTTCCACACACTAATCCTCTGGGAAAGAGGCAAGATCCCCCCCCTTTTAGGCCTGT